GCGGTGAGTGCGGGGCCTCGGCTCCCCGCGGAGAACGCGGGAGCGAGCAGGGGGCCGGCTCGGAAAAGGGTCGCTGCGAGCAGGGGGCTGAGTCCCCGTCCTCCTGCCGGCGCTTCCGAGTCTCGCCTTCCTGCGAGCCAAGTCTGCGGGTTTGGGAGAATTGAGGAATTCTTGCTGGCGGAAAATTACAAGCGTCGCCATGGAAATGTCACTGAGAAAGTGGCCCAAGTCGCTAAGAAAGCAGTGAAACGGATCCGCTCTGCGAGAGCGGTCCAGGGGCACAAACACAGAGTCCCTGGGGTGTTCTCTGCTCTTGTAATCAGCAACTCTGGAAGCAGAAACTTGATATTGATTTTTTTTTCGCTCATTATTGCAGATACTTCTAAGATATAAGTACCTGAACCATGCTCATGCCTTTAAAGGTCTGCTTATTAATACTTAAAGTCTGCTTACTAATACTATTTGCAGTACTGCTGAATTTTAGTCCACCTGCATCACACAGTCCACCAGCACTGCTTTTAAAATAACTGTTTTTAGAATATACCTTAAAGGCGTTTTCAGAAAAGGGAAGATGCAGCACATGCAGATACTGTTCCCAGCTGAATGACTGTGTCAGAGAATCAAAATATAACTGAAGTTGTCTCCTATCACTAAGGTATTGCCGAAATCCTAATGAACCGACCCCATGCAAGAAATTCATTGGGAAAAGTATTTGTAAATGAAGTGAGTATAGCCCCTGGCCTCTAAACATATTTGGAGTCATGATCAATAACTAAATGTGATGAGAATAGGTGTGATCAGCAATAATTTTTGGGAAATGTTGAGGTTTTTTTTGCTAAAAGCCAGTATAGTTTGCATTGTGCTATGTGTACACTGCAGTCATGTAAACATGGAGATTGAACAGAGGCACTGGAACAAGATTTAAATTAGCTGAGTCAGACGCAAGTTTTACTTTACATGAGTAATTATGAAAAAAACATGGTCAGTGCCAGGCCTTAGCAGATGATCTGCTCCAGGGCAGGCCATTCCAGAGCAAGTCTGGCTCAAGACCAGACTGGGCAAAGGACAGTTCCATGTACAGCAAAAGTTCATCTCTGAATGCAGGTAAAGAGATGGGGAAACCTGTCATTCTGAAACTGTTATGAAAGCATCCTGCAGTTCTATATAATTATTTCCCTATGTATAGTATAGGTAACATACTATTGTATAGTTGATAATTTAGGTATGTACATATCGATGCTCAGTTTTTCTTCTCTATATATTTCCTCCCTCATAGCTGTTCAGTGCTCTGGAACATCTCCGCTTCGATGAGAAGGTTCGTGTGGTGGTGTTCAAAAGTGAAGTTAAAGGTGTATTTTGTGCTGGTATGTAATAAAAGCTCTGCAAGTGCTATTAAAAGATGGATGACTCTCAAAGCTGGCCATGATCAGCCTGTGCAGAGCAGCCTGTACTTTTCCATACACAAGAAGAAAAACGGGGTCAGGATTTTGTGTAAAAAAATAGTATATGTTTCGCTCTTTGGCCTGTTTGGCTCTCTGATTCAATACTAAGGACAAGTGTGACA